ACCTGTAGTAGGGAGGCTGAATTTATTTCTTAATAATTCTTTTGATAAAGTGTAAGCAGGTACACGAGTAAAGGAATTACCTATATGATCGTGAAGTGTAGCCGCACTTCAAAAAGCTTGGGACTTGGTTTTTATATGATCATGAATGGATTAGGACATACGGCTTTATAATTGTGTCAAGCTTATATTCTAGTTGAGTATAGAAACTTGTATGTATTTTATCTTGAGGTATTCAAATGGGTTGAAGGGTTCAATCCGTAGGACACCCCGATTCTCGAAAATTTTGAAGGTGTAAAATACTAAGATGGAAATTCAATCGTATCGACATTTCCATTTATGTGCAAGTTTTGGTTTGTAAACTTTGTTATGTCATTTCATGGGTTACACTAAAATGGGGGAGGATTGTTGGTGATTTTAATGTCACCGGCCATTTTGTGTGATTGGAAATGGGATGCAAAGACAAAGACATTTCAGGGGATATAAGGTGCAAAGTCTAAGATTTTTGAAAATTGGATGCAAAATTCAATATCACCCTAAAAGTAGGGTGCAAAGTCAAAATATCCCTAAAACCTTTGTTTTTGTCACTTCATACGTATAATTTTATTTCAAGCAAATGTGCACTATTTCTTACTATTTTGTTTCAAAAATGATGGACATACATTATTTATATATCGGCATACTTAACCATGTGGGCAGAATAGTAAGAGCATCTTTAATGACAAATGATATTTTTTTTAAATCAGTTCAACAGACTGTTATAGTCCCAATGTATGTCCCAAATTTTCTTAAAATTTTATAATATTTCTATATTCTTCGAAATTTTAATCTCAATATGTGCACCTGTGATCCTTTATAATTTTAGATGTGATTATGGATTACAAATTGTAAAAAATCATGATTTCTTATTGAAGTGACGTGCTAATTAATCAGACCGGATTGCATATTACCGTAAATATTTAAATTTTCAATACAAATATAAAGGTCATATTTTGATAATAGTTTTGAACAATTAATCATGCCAATTAATTATAACTCCGGTCAACAGAACAAAACTATTTAATTATATCTCCATATTGTTTTACTTCATGATTTTGTATTATTTATGACAATATTTTAAAATATATTGCACTCGTGGTAATAATTTCACCTGTGACATATATATATATGACAACTCTTTCATGTTTAATTGGTAAGAACTTCATTCTATCTCATATGGTAATTTTCCATATTTTGGTTCAAGTGTATTCAACTCAAAATAAATGTGCATGCACGTGGCTACTAATTTTAGTTGATGGTATTTATTTTTGAGTAATTGACATAGTTTCCCTTTAATGGGCGGGAATTTTGCCTTCAAAACATGTAGCAACTCTGTTACTTTATATATATATATATATATATATATATATATATATATAGGGGCAAGATCACATGCAAACATGTCCTCCCATACAAACTACAAACTAATCTTGTGCGTCCGTTTGTAATAAATAAAGGGCATCCGTGTGAGATGCATGATAAGGGGATGTGGACGACACATGGAATCACAACAAATTGACAACTATAAATGGAACGGTTAGTAAGAAGGGATACTATAGTAATTTACAAATTAAAAGTGTCCGGTAGTTCTAGTTATTTTTGGCAATAGTTTAATGACTAGACCTCTAGATTAATGCTAACCATAAACGTAAAAGAAACTTACCATTTTGTAATTAATATTTTATGAAAGCTTTTACTAAAATAATATTTGAAATTATAGAATCAGAATCTACGTAATTAAACTACCATTTTTCAAAACATAAAGATGGTAAGTATTAGAGAGCTCTTGAATGATGAAGTGAGCATTGGTAGAAGTGTCTGCATATTAAGGTTACCAGATGTGCATATTAGTGTTCCAGGAGGTGCATATTAAGGTTGCGTGATGTGCATTGTACATTTATAATGTCTCCATAAATTATATTAGAATTGCATTGATAAAACATGTCAACGTTGCATTTTAGTCGTTTGTATGTTGCATGTTATCTTTATAACATGTGCATTTTACAAGTTCGTATATTGCGTTTTCAAATATGTACACTTTAGAAATTCATACTGCATCTTACTGCTATGGTATATGCATTTTAGTATAGAGTGCATAAGTTGCATTTTATCATTATGATATGTGCATTTTAGAAGTTCATACACTGCATTTTGATAAGATAACGTGTGCATTGTCGAAGTTCATACACTGCATTTTAGTAAGATGACATGTGCATTGTAGAAGTTCATAGGCTAAAAGGTCAAATAGGTACATGAACTAACTTAAAGTGTTCAATTAGCCCCTTATATAGGAGGTTCAGCCTGGCCATCGTCAATTGGTGAGGTTCCCGGTTGAAGTTTTTGATGAAATTCTTTGAGAATATTCTTCATTAAGTCTAGTTTACCCATACCAAATTTCAGCTAAAAATTCAACCGGGAAGGTAGTCAAATGATTTTCTGAAATGTATTGCGTTGTTTAACTGCGCAGTTATCTTCAAAAAATCATTTGATTGTTTTCCCGATTGAATTTTTAGCTGAAATTTGGTATGGGTAAACTAGACTTAATGAAGAAGATGCTCAAAATATTGCATCAAAAAATTCCACCGGGAACCGCCCCAATTGGCGACGGCCGGGCAAAACCTTCTATATAAGGGGCTAATTGAACACTTTAAGTTAGTTCATGTACCTATTTGACCCTTTAGCCAAGTTCATATGCTGCATCTTATCGTTATGACATCTGCATTGTATAGTCAACTGACATGCATATGTGATTCGTGATGTCCCAAGATACATAATATATAAGAAACATGTTTTAAATAGTAAAAAAACTGCACATTAAAATTACAATATTTTTTACATACTAAAATTACAAGAGCTGCTCATTAACACAATTCACATATTGTGCTTTTTAGGAGTTCATATTTTGCATCTTATCATTATGCCATCTGCATTATACTAGTATACTCAATTCACATGCATACGTAATTCATGAGAACACAAATGCAAAATATATAAGAAATTTATTCTAAGTGCTAAAGAAATACAACACTTTTGTATACTAAATTTACAAGAACTTTGTATGAACACGAAATTGATGGATTTCATAAGGGAAAAAATAATGTTTTTCTGGCGTTCATAATATAGTTTCGGCATTCGAGAACTAATGGTCTGATCTCTGGCGTCTCCTTAAGCGTGCCGGAATTCACGACATTCGAATAGAAGAACACTTGAGTAGAAGAACACCAATCTGATTCTATTAAAATTTGAGATTGAGGAGATGGAGATGGAGAAGAGATAGAAATGGTGAAGCTTTGATCCTAAAGATATGGCTGAATGAACGTGCAAGAGAGAAATAATTTAACGTAATCAGACATGATTTTATTTCTAAAAATAAAATATACCTAAAAGACTAATATGTCCTTAATTGTCTAATATAATCAAGATGAAAGCTACGGTTCTATCAACTAAAAAAGAGGGCTGAGATATATTTGCATTTTGTAAATTAAGAAGACTTTGTACATGATCCTTAATCCTATTAATGTAAAGATTATTTAAGGCACATAAATGAGATCATTTGACCAGTACGTAGTATACATTTCAGGGCCTACAAATTACATTTTTACCCATTTTGGGCGGCAATTTTGCCTCCAAAAAATGTAGCAAACTTTGCTACTTTATATTATATAAAGATATGAGTGTGTAATTAAGGTCTAGCTTAACACTTGGTATGGCTGCTGGATATATATTATATAGATCATCTACATATATATGTATATATATATATATATATATATATATATATATATAGGTTTTGGTTCAAATAAGAACACGATCTTATGAGGAAAATGAGAACGAATCTGGACCGTTAGATTTGCCTCAAGTGAAATTCAGTATGCATCAGATGAAACTGTAATGTGCATTAGGTGAAATTGAAATGTGCATCACAAAGGGTACGATAGAGTGGCATTATGTGCAGTTGAATTGTGCAATACGTGAAATTGAAATGTGCACTAGGTGAAGCTGAAATGTGCAGAATAAAAAGTACGATGTGATGTTATTTTTGTACTTTTTATTTGCACATATCGGTTTCATCTAATGCACACTTGAGTTTAAATTTTTATCTTGCACATTTCAATATCATTTAATGCACATTTCAGTTTCACCAAATGCACAATTTGGTTCCACATAATACAATCCAACGGTCCAGATTCGTTCTCATTTTTCTCCTAAGATCTGTTCTTACCGGAACCGCTCCCTATATATATATATATATATTAACGTGGGGGCAGGGGGGCAGCTGCCCCCACTGAAATTTCTGGACAAAAATCGAAACGACATCATATCGTTTTGGTCGTTTATGTGTGTTTTGAGATTTTTTTAAAAAATAGGTTTGGCGATAAGGCTATTGCAGCGATGCACCGAAGCGGGAACCCTAGTCCTTACCCTCTGCGTTTGTTCTGCTCTCTTTCGCCTCTTCAAAGTTCCCGTCTACAGACCGGCGAGGTGGCAAGGTGAAGAAGTATTTGCAGGCTAGCTTGCAGTCATATCCTTCAGCTTTTCCGTAACTCCAATCGACGCCCTCTATGTCAGTTTTGACCCTCAACTTTCCTCGGTAATTGAACTCTTTTCCCTTTCTTTCATTACCGCACTCGCCACTCCCTTTTTGATTTTGTATACTTCCTCCGTTCTTAAATAAATGCAACAGTCAATATTTCACATTTGTCGAGGCACAACTTTGACCAATAATATCTATAATTGCCGATTAGTAAAAAAAGTTTAAAAAATAGATTTTGAAAATTTATAATGAGAAAAATTTAACAATATTTTTTTCAAATATATATATTATTACATTAATAAATAAAACGTAGTCAAAGTGGAACATGTGAATAGTGCAAAAAGTCCAACGTTGTATTTAAAAGAGAACGGAGGTAGTATACATTAGTTACACTTCTTCAATTTAAACTTCTTTTACTTTTTACCCAAACAGGCAAACAACGTCAATGGCCAAGCTATCAGACCTGTGGGCTTTTGATTCTTGAATCTGTTATCTTCATCAACGAGTTATTGGCCTCAATTTTCAATTCCCAAAGCTCAAGGTAAGACTCATGACTAAACTCTTGATTCTTGGATCTGTTATTTTCATCATTTAGTTCACTTGCTTGAGTTGCTTAGTTGCTCCTTAATTGCTTTTGTAGCTTGTGTTTTTTGATTTATTGATTTTTATTCACTGATTTGGTAGCTGCTATGTGAAGGAATTAGTCAATTAGCTGTTTTTTGTTGAAGTAATTTTAGTGATTAAGAAATACGTAGTAGTATATTAATCAATTAACAATTTCTTAATTCATTGGTTTAGTATTGACAAATAGTATATAAAGCAATTGACAATTGCAAATAAACATTTAGAGATTGACAGATTGTTAATAATATTAATTTATTTGAACAATATGTGTAATTAATATTTCTAAATGAATTTATGAAATACATTTTATTGTTCAGTTATGGAAAAATCAGTCTTGGCAAGTTATTTTCCTTACAAAAGAAAGTCTACTTTAGAGGATTCATCTAATCAAAGCTTTGCGGAAGGTTCTATCCCACGTCCTCGTATTGAAGTAAATTTAGAAAATCTTGAAGTTGATTCCGGTAAAAGGAAGCATATGAATGAATATCATGTCAATGATTGAGATATTGTGCGACGACGATATCTTCAAATGGGGCCTTTTAAACCTCAAAACATTGTCTTCCCCCGAGAGTGATTAGCACACTCCGCCGCCATCGACAATGACTCTGCCGGACAGTCACTACCCCAGTCACTACCCCGGCCGCCCCCTCCCCCGGCAAGTCACTGCCGCTGTTCGCCCCTTCCATTGAACCACCTCAAATCAACCACCCGGCCGACCAAGCGGCCACCGCACCCCAACCCATGCCCCAGCCCCTGTGCACCATTGGCAACCACGCCCTCTACACTACCCCTCCCCGTCACAGTCGCGGCCACCACTCCGGCCGACCACCGCCACAGCCTAGTGACTAACCCCACTTCCCTATCCTGACTTGACTCCCCAGAATCCCAGTCCCAACCACCAACTCCGCCATCTCCAGCCACCCTAATCGTTGCCGCACACCAATCCACCCCTCTCAGCCTCAACCCACCCCTCTCAGCCTCAATCCACCCCTCCCAGCCCTAATTCACCCTCCCAGCCCCACCCTTGACAGTCTAACCCAACCCCGACCACCACCAATGAACCCTAGCCGCCGTCTTCCGCCAGATCTGGCCGCTTGCCAGATCCGTCCTTTGATTCGAGGTGTATCCGAAGCAGAGAGAAGAAGAACAGTGAAAGCAACAACAAGGAGAGGTGCATCGGCGAAGGTAGAGAAGGCATCGACGATGCTAGACAACGCAAACGGTTGCGACGAGAAGAAGTGCAGAGCAGCAACGACGTCGATGGCTCAGTTTCACGGCGTCGATGGCTCAGTTTCACGGCGTCGATGGCTCAGTTTCACAGCGTCGGTGGCTTAGTGATTTGCGGACAAGAAAGGAGGAGAGAAGAAGAATAAAGGAAGATCGGCGAGGCAAATCCTTAGCTCGAGGTTCGTCGTCCTTCTTCAGAGAGGCGGATCGGCGGAGATGCGGCAGAGGGACAGCGAGGCTCAGGCAGGCGGACCGGCAGAGAGAAGGCGCCATGGCCGTGCGGAGAGAAGAGGCGCATCAACCTCATGCAGAAATAAAGGAAGACCACGCCATGGCCGGTGGTTTATGGCGGCAGAGAAAAGTCTCGGCTTGTGATGTGCGTCTGTGCGGAGAGAGACGTGGGGGAGAGAAGTCTGAATCACATTTTTGGAAAAAGAAAAAGGGTTACGGAGTATATTTTTAGAATTTGAAAAGTCAAAAGTCATAGACCGGCAATTCTTTCTTTTTTTAACTTTCGGTTCCCCTACTATTATACTCGACTTTTCATTTTTTTGCATTTCTAGTACTCAATTATTAGAGACACTTTTATTCCTCGACATCAAAGTTTCCCACATTTAGACATTTAGTCCTCTTAGTATTATTATCAATTTGATATTTTTAATCCTTCTACTATGAGTTTGACACAATAAGTGGGGATACAGATTATCACTATTATAGTAGTTGAAGAAATGCAAATATCAATTTTATGAAAATTGAAGGACTAAATATAGAAATTTTAAAAAACGAGTGTCAAATGTGTCTTTAACACAATAATCAGGGATTAAAAATAAAAAAAAATAAAATTGAGTACCAAAGAGTCATTGGCATTATAGTGGGAGGACTAAAAGTTGTAAAAATTCTTAATAAATATGTAACCAAGCCCCTGCAGCCCAGACCAGCCTAAGCCCACTAGACAGAAGCGGGAGTTGGGAAGCCATCTCTGCGCAGCAACAGCCAAGTGAGCAACTTGCCAACGGCGAGTCGGCGACTACCCCTTCGGCAGTTCGGCCCTTCTTCCGACTTACTCCCAAGTCCCATATCCATCTTGCAGGTAAGCCCTGCTGTAACCTTCAATCCCAGAATTTTTTCCTCTTTTTATAAATTGTTAATTTTATGTGCAATTCTATTTTCATTTAATAAATTGTTAATTGTACTTTAATTCTGGATTTGTTCATTTCGTTTCTTACTGTGCAAATTTTACAATTATACTTGTATTACTTCAATGGTAGTCTTTCTAGGTAGTTTGACAAAAATTCTCCATGTTAAAATTTTATACACCGATTCCTAAAGGTAGTAAAGGTCCGAGCATGGATGGTTCTTCTTTAAATAACTTAATTTCTGCATCACAAAATGTCATCCTAACACTGAAAATAAGGTTAAAAACCCTCAAATAGAAGTTGAATTGTCAGATATATGATGACATTGTTGACACCAATTCCTGGATTTTTCATGGATTCATCTTCAATTGCGGGTTAAGGCGGGCAGGACTTCAGTGTCTGAAGTTGTTGTTGTCAGTTGCGAAAGGTGTACTTTCGCTTGGCTGGTTACAATCGTAAAAATAAATTGAAGAAAAAATACCACGATGCATTGTTAAAATGTGAAGTGTGTATTTAATTTCCCCCAGACTTCAGAGTCTTTAGCTGTCTGTATTATGTATATTAGCTATTTATAAAAAACCAAGAAAAGTTATTTAAGTATCTATTGCCGGAAGCCGCCTGCCTTGCCGGAGACCTTCCCTTTACCATTATGTACCCCTCCAGAGTTCTCGAGCTGGTTCGGTCACTGAATATGAGTAATAATTTTCTCTTTAAAAATCTCTATCAATTATTGCACCCCTAAACTTAATGACCGATGATATTGTAATCATATTGTTATTTTGAAGAAAAAATCTTTGTGTAGATCGATTATATTCTATAACGATATATGAAGGATTTGGTTTTATGATAGAATGACTCTCTTCTGCAAATAAGGGTGAGCTCTTTGGAAAGTCAAGACTGCCCACACCAAGTGCCTTAGCCCAATCTCCGGAAACAATGCCCCTGTGGAATACAACATGGTGTTAGAAGTTTGCCACATCAGAAAATTACTTAGCCTGTTGGCCCCTGCAGTCCGAACCACGATATCAGGATCCGGGCCCAAGCCCGCCGTGTACATATTCGTCTCCATGTCCGCCACCGTCACAATCCCCGCGGGGGCCACCTCCAAGGAGTTTACCTGCATCAACTCTTCTCTCTTCGCCATGCAGCACTGCTGAGCCGCACGGACTATCTCAGCAGAAGAAGCATAGGCCAAGCAGACGATGAGGACGATGTTGGAATTTGCGCAGGTTGCGTGCATGGCGGCCTCGGCGGCGACCCTAAGCCGTCTGTCGATTAAGTTAAGGTTCCCAATGAACTGCACCCGGACTCCGTATTGGTTCAGGACATCCTGGTACTTGAGCAGGCCTTCGACTTTGGTGGACATCAAGTCCATCAGGAACTGGACTTCCTCGGCCGTCCGGCTGAAGTTGTCGATGCTGAAGATGAAGAGCGAGACATAGTTGATGCCTAGTTCGTGGCAGTACTTGAGTAGGCAGATGAGAGCGAGAAAGCCGGCTCTGTAACCTGTCTCGTTTAAGAGTTTGTGTTTCTTGGCGTACCGTCGGTTTCCGTCAAGAATGAAGGCGATGTGTTTGGGAATGACTCCCGCAGATAGAATGAGGAACACAAACCTTCTGAGGAACCTGAAAATGCTCCCGAAGAGCCACCCTGCTGCTGCTGCTGCCAGCTTTTGGGTTTTGGCCATATGATATATATGATCGATCGATGACTTAAGGGAATTGGGTGCTTAATTATTATGCAGCTGCTAGCTGTACTCGGATCGGAGTTTTAATTTGGGCGTAGCAGCTAGAACGTACAGAATTGATGCCATGCATGCTCTTTCCATGGGGGCGGTTATTGCCAGGAAAGAAGTAGAGATTCATTTCACTCTACTCATCCATCACTCATATAGTATGATTTTAATTTGTTTTTAAACACCATGATATTACCTAATTTAATCCAAATTAGCTGGATCAATCCTGTACTCCAAGGAATTATCTTACGCAATAAATTGTTCTCAATAGGATTAAAACATACACAAAATGCACAAATAGGAGTACTTGTGTTTTAGGGGTTTAAATGCACTAAGCCTCTTAAATTCTGCGCATAAGCCTATGTGATTTAAAAAATGCGTCAAACTCATTTGCGCTATAGTTATTCATGCGCAAAAACTCTTTATGATCAAATTTAATTGCTAAATAAAAGAGATTTATTACTCCTTCCGTCCCATAAATTCTCATTAAAACAATTCACTCACCTTTTTGGGATGTCCCAAAAAGTTCTTCCCATTTTTCTTTTTGAAAAGTTTTGTGTGACTATCATTCATTCACCTTTTCTTACGCAACCACAACCACACATTTCTATTTTATTTCTACTTTAGTAAATTCTGATTCAATCATATTATTAAGACAAGTGATTTCAAAATTGTAAAATTTGTGCTTGGAGGTGGGTTTTGACGCATTTTTTAAATCATAAGGGCTAATTCCCTGAATTTATAAATAATGGGAGGGTTTAGTACATTAAACTCTGTGTTTTAGGAGTACTTCTTTAATTTGATGATAAAGATGAACCAAGAGTGAGCTTCAAAATCAAAGAGGAGTCTCGCCGGTCTCATCTTCGATGTGAACCTACAAATCTAATGGGAGGTGAGGATGTGTCTACATTGCACTTGTGACAGGGAAAACAGAATAAATTGAATAAACTGAATAGCTAACCATCCCAATAGAGTAAGGTCTTCACACTTTTTTAGGTTTTTTGTTATGAAAAAGAGTCCATTTCTGACCGGAAGTATTGACATCGACCCAATTGAATTTGAACCAATAATAGTATATAAATACAGATTCACCATTCATTCTTCAATACATCTCATGTTAAAACTAACTTAATTAAATATTGAGGGGTGCAATTTCCCACTGTGCAAGTGTTATAACTAACCAAGTTTGTCCGCTAAACCCGTAGAGGCACAACAATTTTCTATATATGAAGGCGTAATTAATTAGTTCAATCCATGTTTATAGTGGAACATTAATCTTTGGTTCAATAACTAAAACTAGAGTTGTCTTGTAATGCTTTTCATATATGTAAGTTGAGTAATTAATTCTACATGCAAATTCTTGGAGCAAATCTTTGGGTAATTAATTCTACATTTATTAGAATTAATTATGCAAGTAAATTCTATAATTGTGAGATTTAATTTTCCACTAATTAGTCCATTTGTACCTTTTTATATCTTTATGACCAATTCTAGCTATGTAAGGGGAAGGTGATAAGGCCGATTAGTTGAGTTGTCCCTAGATTTTAAGAGGAATTCCGAAATCGTCGGACAATGGAAGAAACGTCCGGAAAGATAGAAGGTAACACCTGATGACCCAACAAAGGTTTGGAGGGTGAAGATATACTGTACTGCCCAACCGTTTTTAGATACCACGAAGGAGTTTCCAGATCTGTTGGAAAGGTGACAAAGTGCACATGACAACTTGGATCATGATATTATAAATAGAAGCAAGTCGATCTCATTGTAAAAACATACACACTTCCTCTGCGCGCAAAATACAGAATTTACTCACGATTATTATCAAAGTATTCGTAAATTCTCGATATTATATTGCTCTTGCATGTGATCCCAATCACTATCTAATTTTTTTTAATTAGTTTTAGCTTACCTAAAATTGCTTAAACTCAAACTTAGCTTAATTATACATAAACCAATATTTATATAGTACTGCTGTACTAATTAAGGGATGTTAACTCTGATGGATTAATATATTTGTGGTTGAGTGTGCTCTTTCTGTGGTGGAAATAAGGTTGAAGCCTTTGAAAATTCAACACTGCCCAGACCAAGTGCCTGAGACCAATCTCAGGAAACAAAGCTCTTGGAGAGTACAACAGGCAGCTAGAAGTCTGCCACAGCAGAAAGTTACTGAGCCGAGTTTCTCCCGAGGTTCGCACCAAAATATCCACCTCCGGCGCTAACCCCATCTGCATATGCTTCTCCAGATCGACCAGCGCAAAACCACGCTCTGCCACCGCCTCCTCCAACATCACCGCCCCACCATTCCCGCTGCGCTGCCTTCGTCTGTGATGAACTTCCGAAAGCTTCAACCTTCCCCTCTTGTCTCTGCAGCACACTTGGGCTGCGTGAAGCATCTCGTCTGTGGAGGTGTAGGCGACGCAGATGAGGAGGACGATGCTAGAGTTGGATCGGGTTGCATCCATTGCCATTTCGGCAGAAGCCCTGAGCCGCTTGTCCAGTAACCTCAGGTTGCCGATGAAGACGACTCTCACTCCGTACTGGTTCAGGGCAGCCTCGTACCTCAGTAATCCCTCCACTTTGTTCAGCATCAAATCCATCAAACATTGGACCTCATCTGGTCTCCGCTTAAAGTTGTCTATGCTGAATGCGTATATCGTCACGTATTTCACTCCCAGTTCGTGGCAGTACCTGAAAGTCTAAGATATGAATGCTTAAAATACCTAGTACTACCTCCCTTCCGAAAAGGTTCGACATATTGACTTTTCTTGCTTAATAACGACAAATTTTGGACAATGATTTTAATTATTATATTTGTATATAATTTAAAAAAATTATACTTGTATGAAATATTTTGAATAAGGAACATTTTGATATAATTTTGATATTCAAAATAGTTTTCGTATTAAAAAATATCATTGGTCAAAGTTGATTGTCATTGATCACGAAAAGTCAATTTAACGAACCTTTTTGGGACAATTTTTAAGAACTATACAAAGTATATGCTCCATTCATCCACAAAACATACTTTTCTTGGTGAAAGATATAATGTTTGACCTCATATTTATAAGTATGAAATTATTTAAGATATAGAAGTATATGAAAATGTTTTTTTGTTACAAATACTCTCATAAAACTATAGTACGTAGAATTTATAATAGTGCTAACCTAAAAATTCTACAGGAGTAAAGTATAAATTAAAACACATCCAAGAACCCCCTGGTGGCCGATTTTTTTAGGAAAAATTGTCAAGCATCTGGCTTTAGTTAAACTTCTGGGTTTCAACCTTCTGGGTCCCATCTGAGTTTAGCTAGGCAGAAGTCAATTCACGGTTTTACCTATATTCGTGAGTTCCCTCTGAGCCTGACGGGTTCCAAGACCAGTTTATCAGGTTCTGGATTGAAGTCCCGTTCTGTTTGATCCGATTCTTACAACATACTCCCTCCGTCCCCTTTTCAATGGGACGGGAGATGGTGGCACGAGTTTTAAGAAAAATGAGTTTGTATGGTTGATATTAATTGATAAAGTAAGAATAAAGTAAGAATGATTTTGAGTCACACAAAGTTTACCAAATAAGGTATGGGGCAATTAAATAGGGACATCCCAATATGGTAAAACGGGACATTTAATAGGGGACGGAGGGAGTAGCAAATAATCGATCTTTACTTCAGCTTGTTTTATTTTTTATTTACTGAAAAAACTAATAAAATACAACGATTTTTTTTATTTTTTAACATAGACGTGTATTTTTTAAATTTCATAATGGTTCCGAAAAAAAGTTCAAACAAAAACATGACTTACAAGAATTTAATTAATGTTTCACTAAACGTATTTGTAAAAAATATGTTGAGTGTATTTTATTGATCGTGTTGAATGCCTGAAATTAATGGAAATACAGTTTTAACGGAGTCCATTTTTTTTTATAGCGGATAGCTGGAGAGATGTAATTGCAGGATGCATACGATCGTGAAAAGGGGTTGAAGAGTTTCTTCCGATCAACTGTATACTCCCTCCACGCGGCAAACAAGTTTTTACTTTGATTCCCACATTTTCATACACACGTGAAAATTCACACAACGACTTTCCCTAAATACCCATCCTAATTTCAAATCAAGCAAAACGTAAAGGTGATAATATTATGATGGGAGATTTGTTGTTTTAGTGTTGTAGCTTTTGTCAATATTCTCTTTTTGTCACATAACTTATTTAGTGTAGAATTTTTGTCACATATCATCATATCCAAGAACTGAAGAACCCCTTTGTGGCTGAATTTTTGAGGAAACAATTGTCAAGCATCGGCTTTAGTTAAACTTCCGGGTTTCAAGCTTTCTGGGTCCCATCCTAGTTTAGCTAGGCGGCAGTGGATTCCGGTTTGACCTATATAGCGAGTTCCCTCTCGACCGGACCGGTTAATTTTTAAGAAATATGCTACACTTCCTAATTTCAAATCAAGCAAAACATAAAGATAATAATATGATGGGAGATTTATTGTTTTAGTCCCGTAACTTTTGTTAATGTTCTCTTTTTGTCACATAACTTTACTTAGTGTAGATTTAGTTTTGTTAGCATCTAATAAGTTCCTTCATACGTAGTATTAAGGATTTTAATTTCCACAGAAAACTACGTTTTCCACAAAAATGATCGAAAGATTTGTTCTTTTTTCCGACAAAAATATACAAAAGAATAAAAGTTCTGTTGGTGGTTTAAAAAAAGAAGACAACAAAAATAAACGAAGTACTGACCTGAGTAGGGGTGGACTCGGGCCGGGCCAACCGGCCCGGAACCGGACCGGCCCGCTACTGTGCGGGCCCGGACCGGCCCGGTCAACCGGTTGGTCAACCGGTTCGGGCCACCCGGCCCGGAGGGATACCGGTTCGGGCTCGGGCCCTGATTTTGGCGAACCGGCCCGGCCGGTTCGGGCCCGGTCCGGGCCGGATTTTAATTTTTTTTTTTTTTTTTTTGAAATTTTTTTAAATTTTGGGTTGGATTAGATATTTTGGGCCATTTGAGGTGGTTTGGGGTAGTTTGGGGTTGAGGGGGAGGGGTAGGGGGTTAAAAATGAGAACAAAAAAAAAAAAAAAATTAAGTTGGGCGGTTCGGCCCGGCCCGGCCCGGCCCGGTTTGGCCCGGAACCGGAACCGGAACCGCTCCCTGGCGGTTCGGGCCCGGGCCCTATATTTCTGGCCCGAGGCCCGGCCGGGCCCAGGCCCGAACCGGGCCCGAACCGGCCCGAGTCCACCCCTAGACCTGAGTATGCATAGGAGAGCCAGAAATGCAGCTCTATAGCCTACGACATTAGGGATTTTCATTTTCTTGGCATACCTTCTGTTTCCATCCAGGATGAAGGCGATGTGGTGGGGAATCTCACCTACGGACAGAACACGGAAGATGATGCCTCTTATGTACCTAAATAAACTCCCGAAGAACCACCCGGCTAAGTTTTGGGTCCTCGCATCCATTTTCATGCCTGCCTCAAAGTGATGAGGAAGTTACTAATTAAGAGTGTATTAAGTTTGGGATTTGGAGTAATCAATCATGCGTACTCCATGTGAACGGGTTTTTGGCATGTAATGTGTACCTATGCATCCTAGTTTGTTAATCACTGCAGTGTGATGACATATCTACCATGTTGGAGGTATTGGCCCCATTGGGTCTATTCTAGGGGTGAGCACCCCATTGGGTCAATTCCGGTCCAAGATTGGACCGGAATTGGTTGGACCACAATTTGAAATTCTGATAAAAAAAATATTGGATCAAATACTGGACCTCAGTAATTTCGGGCAAAAATTTAATCGGGCTGGATTATTCTGAATTTGTATGGACTGAACCGGTATTGTACCGAGTTTGGATTTTTAATTTAAATTAAAAAAAGTAACTTTTTTATAAAAAAAAAATTACCTTTGATGACTATAAATGTATTTAAACATAAACTTTTCTTGGACAAATATTCAAATAAAACTAATCTAATTAGTTATTAATTTTGTTTAAAATTTTCTTGGATAATAATTAATTAATTACGGTCCAATTTGTTCGGGCCTAAATATTTCGAATTTGGATCAAATGGCACTAGAACCTAAACATTCAAAATCTTGGACTAAAGACCCGATGGCATGCAATCAGTCTGGGTCCGATTTGGACCAACATGCTCGATTCGGTCAGGTTTTTAGTTTAGTCTGGAATATGCTCACCCCTACCTATTCCATGATTTGCATCCCATTCTCTAGCCTTGTTGGACTTGTCCGTTTGTTTCCCTTGTTGTTCTCTTTACCCCTTGGCGAAGTGTGTTCCCTCGCATACTTATTCAAATTCTTCTCTCGCTTTTCTTGTGTGCGAGAGAGCTAGAGAGAGGGAGGGAAAGAGGGACCATCCAGTAGGGATTATTCAAACTTTCTTAGCACAACTGTGGCACGGAATTGACACGAATTTGGCACAAATATAATTAATGGTATGGATTGGTAATATGTATTTTTGTGATGGGTTTTGTTACGACAAATTAGAGACAAAACAAACTGTTATAAAATTTGACTAAAACTTTGGATTTTGTTTGAAGAAAGGTACGTAGATCGACATACAGTCTTACTTTAGATTTAACTTACTAACTTACTTTTTATATACAAACTTTGGATTTAACTTACTTTAGATTGAAAGTAAGGTTATATGTAAATATTTTCATCGAGTGTGATGATCATAGGGTGTGAAGCGGCTCATCGCCTCGATCTAACTCAGGTGTGTGAGCTGTCACTATGACTCTATGAGGTTGAGCTCAGCCGAAAAGAAAGTCGATCTCTTCACCGTCTTTGAAACCAGAAGACGTAATAGATGTGTGGCACGCAGCCATTCAAATTAAACTATCTAAAAAATGTAACGTACGGATATATCAGCCGGGTTGGTTGAAAAAGGCATATCGAAGTACATTTAACCACAGGCTAACATTTTATGTTCTAAAAATAGTTAAAGGCCCGTTAGCTGCCCCTAGCACTGCCCCACAAGATCGAGATCCTATAAAATTCGGCCGGCCTAAGACTGCCTCCTTCAATTGGTTATATATAATCACTTGCATAGCATCCATATCTATATATCAATCCAGAAGAGAAAGCTAAGATATATAGTAACTGTATGGTCGAGAATTAAGATGGAAAATGAGTCGAACATGAGCCCCAGTAACAATAGTGGGCACAAGCCGTCCCCCCTGTAGGTGCAGCGAGCTGCTCCGGCGCGTCAAGCACCGGGGTGGAAGATCGTGATGGTGGTGGCGATCACCGCCGGGATCCAATTCGGGTGGGCGCTGCAGCTCTCCCTCCTCAACCCATACGTTCAACTCCTGGCCATCCCACACAAGTTCGCTTCCTTCATCTGGCTCTGTGGCCTCATCTTCAGGATGATCGTCCAGCCGCTTGTCGGCTACTACAACGACAACTGCAACTCCCGCTTCGGCCGACGGCGCCCATTCATCGCCGCCGGTGCCGCTCTCGTCACAGCTGCCGTGCTCCTCATCGGCTTCGCGGCTGACATCGGCCATGCGTCAGGTGACCCTCTCGGCAAAGGCGCTAAGCCCTGTGCCATTGGTGTCTTTGTTGCCGGTTTATGGATTCTCGACGTAGCAAATACTACCTCTGTCCTCTTTTAAATGTCCTGTTTTACCATATTAAGATGTCCCTATTTAATTGTCCCATACCTTATTTGGTAAAGTTTGTGTGACGCAAAATCATTCTTACTTTATTCTTACTTTATCAATTAATATCAACCACACAAACCCATTTTTCTTAAAACTCGTGTCACCCTCTTCCGGGACATTTAAAAGGGGCGGAGGGAGTAACATGCTGCAGTAACATTACAATTACTCTAAACTTTCTTGAATATGACTAATTTTTTTTGACAATTACTTTAAAGGGCACTAAATTTTTTAATAATAAAACATAAGTAGTAATTCTATTTGTTCCTTTTTTATTTTATAGTACTTTCTCCTTTCTTAAATCAGTGCAACAATCAACTTTGCACACTTTTTGATGCACAACTTTGACGATTAATATATGGAGTATATAACTATCTATTGGTAAAAACTTAAAAAAAGATTTTTAAAATCTACACTGAGACACATTTAACAATATTTTTTTCAAAAAATATATTACTGCATCACTAAATATAAGTAGTCAAAGTACATAGTAGGCATGGCCTCGGTCCGGTTCGGGCCCGGTTTGGGCCTGGGCCCGGCCAGTTCACGGTTCAGATATGGGAGGCCCGGAACCGGCCCGGGTAACCCCCGGGTCCGGTTCGGGCCGGGCCGGGCCTCGGTCCAATCTATTTTTTTTTGCTTCTCCTAATTAACTCCCAACCCTCCCCCCTCACCCCCAAACCACCTCAAATGGCCCAAAATACCCAGTCCAACCCAAAAATTTAAAAAAAATTCAAAAACAAAAAAAATTAAATTTGGCCCGGACCGGGCCCGAACCGGCCGGGCCGGTTCACCATTCCTAGGGCCCGAACCCGAACCGTATGACTAGCGGACCGGGTCGACCCAAACCGCCCTATGGTCCGGTTCCTGGGCCGGGCCGGTTCAAACAGTGTCCGGTCCGGTTCCGGGGCGGGCCGCCCGGCCCGAGTGCATCCCTAGTACATAGAACATGTAAATAGTTTAAAATCCAACACTTTATACTTATTTAAGAACGTAGGTGGTATGTTTTATCCGATTTGGAACAAATTCTTTTACTCGTAATAATAATAATAATAATAATAATAATAATAATAATAATAATAATAATAATAATAATAATAATAATAATAATAATAATTATTATTATTATTATTATTATTATTATTATTATTATTATTATTATTATTGAAATGGATCAAAATAAGAGTCATGTGATGCTATTACCGCGTATTAATATGGTATCCTCGTCGACAACGGTGTTCAGCACGTTGTCTGGCCACCACATATACCTACCATACTAATTTGTGTACATTATTGTGCAAAAATGAATTTATTGTCAATTATGAATTTGAAAAATTAATTTATATGTGGTTTTTATGAAATATTATTGAACTAATATTTATTGACAAAATACAACTAAATCTATCATGTTTAAAACTACATTTGCGTAAATTAAGTGTTTTAAATAATCACTATTTGTGGTGTTTATAGAATATTTATTTGTGGTTATTCGTCATTGTAATTTAAGTGTAAAAATTGAACACAAAACTGATCACTCAAAGTTACAACTATAATAACTATACATGCGTGTGTGTGTATTTACTTGTAGATAGTTATAAAGTTACAACTAAAAGGTCACAATTTTGTTTAACATCATATTTTTATTATAAATATGTAGTACTATCTCCGTCACAAAAAACTTTATTATCTCATAAAATTTAGTCGGTACCTTATACATGTGTATATTTACTTATTTATTTATACTAATTTTACTATTTTTCTTGTGACAGTACTAATTTATAGTATACGATCACGTCATTTTCAATCATGACGATATTAAAGTTGTTAATTAGTTAAAGTGTTTAGATTCCGTCAGTCTCTCACCGATACGCTTATCTTTGTATTTCAAAATTTCTAATTAGCTTATGCATTTCTTGAAATTTAAATTGATATAACTCAAGCTATTTTTGTATTAATTACTCATAACTGGATGGGAATAAAAATGTACGAACAAGCATTGTGGAATACCTTAGAAACTCATTCCTACTTTTTCATGAATGTTTCTGGCCTTCTTGTTGTACGTGAAAGTGGCTTGTATTTTGATTTTGATTCAAACATGTTTTTCTATATGTATGGAAAAACTAATCATCATATATAACCAAGATCAAATAACATCACACAAATAATCATAATTGTAAGTTTATGGAGACTTACTTGGAGAGTATCCAATGTTCATTTGAGAGACTTTGGAAGAAGATTATGTCATTACTTTAAGGAAATGGATGTGTAATCCCTTTTAGGACAATGATAGATGAAGTATGCAATAGTAAGGAGTTTGTGATGTCCTCTCTCCTCTTGTTATGGTGTTGTCCGTTTTTTTCAATGCCAATGGGAGGAGTAGTTATATTGGGAAATAACCAATAGTCACAACCTTTCATTTATTGTCCTAAAGGGTGTTACCACAATGGTACCCCTTATGTATTATTTCCATCAAATAATACACATATATATAACACATAATTATATATATAATACATAAATATAGAACACATATTAATATTGGTCCTTAGGCCATATTAATTGGAAATAATCCAACATTCTCCCACTTGGCCTAGTGACCAATAATTGCTAATTAGTTGGTCAAGCATGTGTTCTAAATACCCAATATCTATACTATAATAGAGAAGTACAGCCACTCGCATCTATTTAGATACAAGACCCCCACTAATCATACTATAACACATGTATTAGGACATTAAGGTCATTAAACATAAATGATCAAATGTAATGTGGTAATCAATATTAATTTGTCCATGATACCAAAGCTAGTGCGCACGGTATACATATAATAGACAATTAAGAATTCAAGTATTTATTTATATACATGAATTGTTCATAAGAGCACTATGCCAATTAAGTGAGGTCTC